TGACACAATCTGAAACTGAACCAAAGGTCTGACTGACTCACCAGATCCTGGTCCAGTGATTGATTGTTAGACCTGCAGCCTGTCAGATACATGTCACACGTCAAAGGTACAGGTACCTGAATAAAGTGACTCAATTACCGCATGATGATGGTAGTAATGAGCCAAAGTCCATTCTGTGAAAGTTTGCTCTGCTGGTTGAGTCTGTCACACACAGACTTGTTTTTACTTCCTGTGTACCTGTAAACAAACTATTTGATGAAGTTTACATCGTTGCCTGTTAGGTGTAGACCGATATGTCGGCCAACCGAAATATCGGGCCGATATTTATCCGAAGTAAAGCCAATTTAAAGTTAGGCACATCCTTGGGCAGCCCGGTGCTGTTGCAGAATTTAATTGAAATGCATTTTACGTTCACTAATAACATCTGCATGATAAATACTCTAAATTAACTTTATTTAGATGTCTAACTTTAACACTGAGCAGTGAGCAAAGTTAAGAATAACAGTTAAATTCAGAGTACAAAAACTGATTCAGCTTCTGAAATTGTGTGCATCAACTGATGCTATGACATTTTAGCACGAAAATAAGGTGGGAAACATCTAGATATCGGCCATGAAAATCAGCCCATAAAAATTGGCACTATATCTGTTGACCATGTCTTCCACGTAGCTGTCTCCTACATATCGGCATTAAAAACAATTTTGGTCGACCTCCACTGCCTAGACATACAGAAAATATGAACAAGCATGTTTCCACCCTTAGATTTTAATTAGTTACTGTTGAACTCTGAACAGAACACGACCACGTTTCAGCCTTCAAACTCGGAACAAAACTAGTCGGTTAGTTACAGAACTTTGACTTAATAAGTATCAGCAGGCAGAAATCAGAGATGGGTTTCTGGAAACTAAAATCATCGCATCTCTACATTCCACACATAAAATAAGTGTTGAATTTCTTGACTAATTTAGTTTCCTATTCTTTAAGAAGCATGTAGAATCAGACTATTTTAATCTGTGAGTAACTGTT